CTTCCTTCCTTCCTTCCTTCCTTCCTTCCTTCCTTCCTTCCTTCCTTCCTTTCTTTCTTTCTTTCTTCTTTCAAGATTTTATTTATTTGACAGAGAGAGACACAGCAAGAGAGGGAACACAAGCAGGGGGAGTGTGAGAGGGAGAAGCAGGCTCCCTGCCAAGACTTGATCCCAGGACCCAGAGATCATGACCTGAGCCAAAGGCAGATGCCCAACGACTGAGCCACCCAGGGACTATTTTCTGAGAGGCTATATAAATGGCTGTTTTTCAGCACAGTATGTCTAGAGAAAAGAGGGAGAAGAATTTACTTGCTGCCTCCCCTCTTTCATTGACTAAATGTTTGTTCCATGGGGTGTTGATTTTCTTACACTCCCATTGAGCCACACATGGGCACCAGGGCTGGCCTCCTGGGCAGGTGACCAGTGCAGTCATACAAGGCCCCAAGCTCAGGAGGGGGCTGACTCCTGGTGTTTAATGTTCTGTAGTTGCTGTCTTGGAATTCTTAATAATTTTATCTCTGAATGTGTATTCTGTAAGGGAAGTCTGAGGGATAATGAAGCACGTGCCTGGGGACTTGGAATTTCTGCTCACGTGTCCCGCCTCTCCTCTTTTCCCTGATATCTGGGTTGGGTTCTCGGCAGCCTGCTTCCTATCCCTACAGCTGCCCCTTGCGCACCCCCCCCCCAATGCCATTACACTGTCTATTAGCCTGAATGTTTCAGGGTGTTGAGGCATATGGTGAGACAGTGGAGTCCATGGTCATGGGTCCCTTGTTACATTTTCTCTTCTATCAGGTGGGTACCTTGGACCAAGGCAATGTTCTGTGTGATATAATGTCAATAGAATAGGCATTTGTAAACCCTGGCTGGTGGTGCTGTTGGAGGCATTGTGGAGATGAAAGGCAAACCTTAACTTAAGCAGGTGTCACATCTGGAAAGAACAACTACTGCTCTTCATCTAGGGGAAAAGGTTATGTAAGTATAATTCCTTGAGGAACAGTGCTATGCTATTAAATATTTCAGTGTCAGTCTCTGCTCTTGGCAAGTTGGGCATTCAGCAGTGGTACTAGCTTTGTCCATTTTGATGAGGAGTAATTCATGCTATGTAGCCCACCCATACCATGGTGGCTTGGATGAGGCTATGGATATAGCATGAGTCTATTGTACAAGCATGATGGTGGCCAAGAAAGAAAGGTTGTCTCATGTCTGTAAGACAAGTCACCCTGTCCATCTGGTTGGTGAGAACCTTACCTGAGAGGGTCGGACATTAACACGAGACACAAACATATAAACACTTAGTATCTACTTCCATCGGTCATTCACCTGCCTCTTCCCCCAGACCTCCTTATTCCCGATAGTCCAATCTTGTTCCTTTCAGGACTTGACCAAACAGGCCGTTCTTTGCCACTGCCCAGGAATTTCTTCATATCTTTACTTCAGGCCATTCCATATTGGAGTGGGCAGCCAAGTATACTGCTCAGAGGTCTATCTACAGGGAGAATTTCCCTTTATCACTGTCCTTTAGGTCCGTTCCTCAGCAATGCAGCTGCAGTCTTTTAATTTAATTTTTTTTTGCTTTATTTTATTTTATTTTATTTTGGTTTTGTACCAATATATTGTTATGGACCCATCTATGAACCAGGCTTGAGGTCTTTCTCCCTCTGTTAACTGGTATTAAGGTATCCTCTGTGAGTCTACAGGAATGAGCTGAGGAGGAGCTATTGGTGCCATTGAGACAAGTGAATGGGAGTCTGGATGACCTGTGCATGTAATTTACTTAGACCTCATTTTCCATCATTTGGTGGATTGCTGTACTTGCCTGACCTCATGATTCAGTGAATCTAATCATATCCAGCTGGATGGGCAAATCTCAAACTCATTTGCATAGTCAGTTGGTATCCCAAGTTCAATCAATCTCTACGAGGACCCAGTGGCACACCAAGAGCTGTTTTTCAAATGGAAATTAGTTCTTAGCCGTAGATGATGTGGCCTTGCTCTATGACCCTAGTATTTTGTGATAACTCTCCCGCTGAGGCTTTCTGAGACTCCACACAGTGTTCTTATCCACCACAGTTGCTTCCAGCACCACCAGATCCACTGAGAGATAAGGTGGCAGAGCAGCTTGCACCTCCACTCGGACTCCTGATTCCGAATGCAATCCCAGGAGAAAAGTGAGGGAAAAGGGGTAGGGAAGCAAGAGAGGAGAGTGAGTGAGTAAATATGAACATGCATTAGTCAATGGCCACCACTTGGATCTGAGAGCAACCGATTTCTCGGGGCACCTGGCTGGCTCAGTCAGTGGAGCTTGTGACTCTTGATCTTGGGGTTGTGAGTTCGAGCCTCACATTGGGTGTAGAGATTACTTAAAAATAAAATCTTTTTTTTTAAGATTTTATTTATTTGAGAGAGAGAGAGTGAGAGAGAGATAGCATGAGCAGAAGGAGGAGCAGAGGGAGAAGGAGAAGCTGACTTCCCCTATGAGCAGGGAGCCTGACACGGGTCTCGAGGTGATGCAGGGCTCCATCCCAGGACCCCGGGATGATGACCTGAGCTGAAGGCAGGTGCTCAACTGACTGAGCCACCCAGGTGCCCCTAAAAATAAAATCTTAAAAAAAATGACTGATTTCTCAAGCTCATGAGATAATTTTCTGACAGGCTTTGCTGTGTTTTGTTTTCAGGTCAGTTCACATAGAGTCCAGTGGAAGGAAGAATCTATCTGTCAGCTGCCATTTTGCCTTAGTCAAAGATCTATCATCTATTCCCTGGGACATTAATTTCCTCACACTTCCCAATTGCACATATGTGGGCAATATATATATATATATATATATACATATATATATATATATATATAGTCTGCCTCAATAAGGAGATCCTCTGGAAAAACCTGGAGGTCAATGTGAGAGATGTAGGGTGTGGGCACAAAGGTAGAAACTGTTGGATTGTGGCAGCTGGTCTGGAACAAGTGACCAAAATCCTTGGATTCAGTTGAGACCAAGAGTGCCGCAGCAGCACCAAGGTAGTGTTTGATTTATTTATTTTTTAAAAAAGATTTTATTGATTTATTTGTCAGAGAGAGAGCACACAAGCAGGGGGAGAGGCAGAGGGAGAAGCAGACTCCCTGATGAGCAAGAAGCCCAATGCGGGGCTCGATCCCAGGACCCTGGGATCATGACCGGAGCCAAAGGCAGACACCTAACTGACTGAGCCACCCAGACATCCTGAAGAATTCGATTTATTTATTTTTTTAAAGATTTTATTTATTTATTCATGAGAGACACAGAGAGAGAGAGAGAGAGAGAGAGAGAGAGAGAGACAGAGAGACAGAGAGGCAGAGGGAGAAGCAGGCTCCCAAAGAGCAGGGAGCCCAATGTGGGACTCGATCCCAGGATCCTGGGATCATGACCTGAGCCAAAGGCAGATGCTTAACCATCTGAGCCACCCAGGCACCCCAAGAATTTGATTTATTAACCAACTACACATCCCAGGTGAACTGGATTGGAGGGCCTCTGTTCCATTTATCTGAATTATTGATCATGATTGTCATTGACCCTATCCCAGCGACCTTTCCCTGCAGCTCCTAACTCATGTGTCCAACTGCCCATCTTGCCGCATAAATTTAATCAGGCATTTCAAACTTCATGTTGCCATACCAGAGCTCTTAATTCCTCCCACCCCACCAGACTTGCTTCTCCCTTAGTGAGTTGCTCAATTCTCACATCTGAAAGTTACACTTCTCTCTTTTCCTCGGTGTCCTCTCCCTTGACTACTCCCCATTTGCTCCAGTAACAAGTCTCCCAAGACACGTCTTGAATACGCTCACTTCACCATGACTTCCAGTGGAAGCCACTTTTACCGTTCCTTGTATTATTGAAATAACCTCCCTTCTATACTTGCTCCACCTAGAATCTGCTCTTCCCAGAGCAGGAGTACTTTCTAAAAAGGGAATGTAGATCATGTCGCTAGCCTGCTTAAAACTCTCTGATATGCGCCCTCCTATAATTAGCATAAAATCAAATCACATAAGTGGTCTAGCTCAAACCTATCTCTCTGACTTTATTTCACACCACTCACTTCCTCCACCATTGCATTCTAGCCACACTGGCTTTCTTTCTGTCCCTAGCTCTTCCCTCTGCCCAGAGTGCGCTCCTCCCTGAGCTATGCATGGCTTTTTCCAAAGAGTCCGCCGATGAGGTGTAGCCCACCCCCTTCCTGTCCCACCGCCCTACACTTATTTTTGTTTCCTGTCTCTTCCTGGCCCCTCTCATTAGAGTGTAAGCTCCATGAGAACAGAGAACTTATTCTTTTCCACTCTTGGATTTATTGAACCTAGAAGAGTGCTTGGTGCAATGTGGGTGCTCAATAAATATTTCTTGAATGAATGCATGGATACTGATACCTGTAATAGAATTATTTATGACTAAACCAAGAATTCCCTTTTATAAATAGAAAATGTTTCAGATAAATATTTGTCAAATAAATTTCTTTTTAATGGCATCCTGTTTTTCATTTGACTGAAGAGGACATAGAAACTGTTTCTAGGAGACTAACAGCTTGGGTTCCATGCCCAGATAGGTCAAGTAGGCTTCCCTATGGAGGATTCAGACTGGGGATCAGTTGTTGCAGCCAACTGTCAGAAACTTCACGGCTAATTTCAAATAGACCTGGCTGAAGTTAATTCTTATGCATAGCCTAGGGAGGACCAGAGCCTTTAGCAGGCTAGAGGAGGAAACCTTTCAAGCCAAACCTATGCCAATGAAGCTCTTCTGTTACCTAGAAAGCACATAGCATGAGAAACTCATTTTAGACCCATTGTATTACTGTTGTCTGTATTCTCTAGAGGAAAGCTCTCATCGTTCTTTGATGTTATTTTTTGGGGTGGCCCTTCGAAATCATCTGGTTTAGCCTTATTTTATGGATGAGGAAAGTTAAGATCTGGAGAGGGAAGGCGACTAAGCCAAGGTCATTCTGTTAATCAGAGGCAGATCCAGTACCAGAATTCAGATCTCCTAACAGAGCCTTGAGGCTTTTACAATATATCACAGCACGTGTTCCTTTCTTCTCCTGCTCTCCTAAAAAAAAACAAAAAACAAAAAACAAAAAACTCAAGAGATTTGCCTTAAATAATGTCCTTGTGAGTCCCGATGGGACCACCTTGGGTGTCTGAATGCTGGCAGTGGTAGTAACAAGGAAGGCACTGATCTTCCTTTCTTACTTTGCTTGGAATATTCTGGACTCATGATCAAACACATATTTCCCATCAAGGGAAGTAACTGTGTTTTCAGTTAGGGCTTCAGTGAGACCTACATAAAGTCACAGGAAACATTCCTATTCCAACTAGTTACCAGTCTGCCGAAATTCACTAGAAAGAAATTACTGTGGGTGTGTTTTCTCACAGGGATTCAATTTGTCTCCTACGAATCAACAGTTGTCTTTCCTCTCCAGGTTTAGGTTTGCAGAATTTCAGAAAGTTTATCCAGGTCTCAAAAAACCAGAACCGTTTTTCTTTGTATTGTGTTGCTGTGATTAAAAGGAGCATCAGGGAAAGAGTCTGCATAATTTGTTTCGGAGATTTTGGGGGGAAGATGGAATGTTTTCCTTCACTGAAAACAACTCGATTCTATATTCTCTCTCCTGTATATGTATTCACCGTTTACTTCTTTCTCCGTTTTCCTGACTTCGAGTTTGCGGTTTTCTATCCATATGTGTTTCCTCTAGACAACTCTCAGGACGATGAGGATTTGGTGGTTGGGGGTGGTGAACACCTAGGAGCCAACTGAATAACTCACCAGCCCGGTGCATTTCTAGCATGCGGCCAAGAAGTTCAGGACCGGTGTTGGCTGGCTGGAGCGTCTTGGTAAGCGTGGCCCTTTCTAAACATTCTATGAGATGTGATGACAGCAGCACGATGTTCTTTTGTTTCCAGGGTGGGTCTGGGGGGACAGCAGACCACTCAGGACTTCGAGTGCGTCCGTCGCGGAGCAAAAGCTTGAGCTGAAACACCCGGCTGAGATCCTCCCGGGGTTCCTCCCTCCTGCAAATGACTTTGGTATTTACTGCAGCTGCCCGTTGTTTTCGGCGCTCTCCTGGCTCCGCTCGGTCCCTGAAGAGGCAGCGGCACATCCAGCAAGACCCGTCCCGTAGCCCTACCTTTGTGCTGCCCTTCCCTCCCCAGTAAAATGTTGTCGGCGCACAAAAGCGGCCGCTGAAGGGGCGCTGCTTGGGGCGGAGAGGGAGGGAGCCCGCCCGCCGCGCGCCGCCGCACCAGCTCCAGCGGACGCCGCTCGCCCCGCCTAGGACACTAATGGAGCGTCCCTAAGAGACCCCAACTCCAGCCTGGCTCACCCCAGCTCTCTCCCCCACCTCCAGACCCCCAGGTGAGACTAAAACAAAGCGACAGCCCCCGCGACCGACCGACAGTCCCGCCTGCCTGCCTGTAGAAGCGGGGCTCGCAAGCAGGCTCCTAAGCCCGGAATTCGACCCGAATCTTGGGCATGTTTTGTTTCGTGGAAAGAAATGTTGTCATCACCGTTTTCCTTTGTTTTCCAGCCGTTTCTTTTCTTGCGGTAACTTAAAAACATTTCCTCCGGGGATGGGGCGAGGAGAGTCGGATATAAATGTTTACAAGTGCCAAGCCCTCTGGCTGACTGGGGTGTTTGCGACTTCAGAAATACCCACTCCTAACCAGGTTACCCAGGCGAGGCTTCCAAGGGCCTCCTAAGAATGGTGGCTGAGAGCCAAGGGTACACACGGGATGCTGAGATTTGTGGGGGTCTGTTTCAGCATTTATATTTAAATATCTTGCACTCTAAGAATTTTTAATTGGAGATTTTCGCCTTGAGGTGCTCCAATAAATCAGAGAAGGAGCCAAACCTAGTTATTTCGCTTCGTAACCAAGCTTTATTTCAGGGCTTTCTTTCCCCTGCGGTTCTTGCCCCGAAGCGATCTGTAAAGCGAACCCACTCTGATACAGTTTGAAAAGTGCATTTTGTACTTGGCTCTTTCTTTGATCGAATTAATCTGGGCTTTTTTGTAGTTCTAAATGAGGCCTATGGGCTGACAATGTAGCTGTTTAAAGGGGATTTTAGGGGATAATGGCCAATGCAAATAGCGCCATGAGAATGGCAACTTGCTTTTGCACTTTCAATCACATAATAACAGCAAAGAAAGCTTTTAAAATGAATTGAAATTTTGTGGCATGCCATCTGGGATTATTTGGGGAAACAGTTCTGAATACTGCAGTTGGGCAAAAGAATGGTGGTACGGTCTGCTCTTAAGCTGACATGTTTCAGATGGCAACCTTATGCTAACTGGTGCAAAGTTGGCTAGCATTTTTTTTTTAATTTTATTATTTTCTTTCTTTCGGATTATCTGCAAAAATTCTCTTTGATTGCTGGTATTTGGGTCTGAAAAACTTTTCTATTGTTGAAGAATTCAATTCAACCCCTTGCAGCTGCTGATCCCCTCATTGTTCCACTCGTTATGTGTACGCGTCTCAGATGAATGTAGCCAAGCCTTTTAGTGCCTTAATAGGTGTCTACATAAAGGTCATTTATTCTGCCGTACTTGTTTTAACAAAAGTTTATACACAAACAACAACCACAGCTAAAACATTCATGTTAATCAATTTCCTCCTGATGCAGAATGCAAAAACTGCCTCAGGCCACGGCCCCGGGCATGAAAAATGTTTTCTGTGTATGATGCTGCAAAGCAGAAAGTAGTTTAAGTAATTTCGTTGAGGGCAAAGCATAATTATTTCACCACAGTTTCTAGCCGAGAGCGCCCATTCTGTGCTTCTCTGTGTGTGGAGCTATGGTCAGGTTACATGGAGGGCAGAGAGGTGCTTTGGATGCAGGGAGTTGAGGCATTAGCTTTTCCCTTGATGTTCACCCTGGTTTGGGGGCTGTTCTCCGTGAACTTCTGCTATTGTCTCTGCAGGGAAGGACGGGAAGGTGATACTAGAATCTGGAGAAAATTGCATAAAGGTATCTAGAATTTCAAAAAAAAAAAAAAAAAAAAAGATTTCCTCGCAGGTGTAAGTCCCCCTGCTGTACAAAAGAGGACCACAGCCACTTCTTCCCATCTGTAAACCCCACAGGGGCTGCTTTTAGGATGAAGTCAATGATGACAAGAACAGCTTCCCACCGCAAGCTCAGGTGAGGAATGCCCGTAGGCTAACTAACATGGGGGGGGGGTAGTTACAAGCGAGGATTCCTAAGGGATCTTGGTGCTTGTGGGGGATTGCTGAGCACAGTGGACGTCATATGGAAATTACAGAACTCTGGCCACGCGGGGGAGGGAGCAAGGAGGTCCACCCACCCGACCTCCCTGAGCAAACCCCAAAGAGCTTGCCTCTGCCAGGTGATTCAGAGATGGGGCCACATTCTTTGATCCATCTCAGGATGATACTTAGTAACTGATCACGGCTCTAAATTCACCCAGATTCTTCAGGAGGTAATTATAAACACTCTTAGGCATCTACAGGTTGTTCTCCCAGGCCCTGTCAGTTTATCTGCTCAAGGTTTAGACTTGGTGAGTTAAGGATTCAAGTCCTTAGATGCTTTGAGGGTTTTGTGAAGGTCAAAAAAGCTCTGAGATTTGGCCTTAGGGTGTGGCCACCTCTTCCCCCAACCTCCTCTGGGGATCTCTTCCTTTCTGGACTCTCCCAGGGGCCCAGCGTAGTCAGCTGATTCTTCCCCACAGAGACTTCTCAGCCTTCTGGGTTAGACAGTGCTTCTTAAACTTTAAGGAGCTGCAAAGGACCCGGGATCTTTTAAAATGCACATTGTGATTCTGTTGCTCTGGGATGGGGCCTGAAAATCTGTATTTCTAAGGAGCTCCTTGGTGATTGCTGATGCTGCTGGGGGTCTGGATTTTAACTCACCAAGAGGTGAGGTACAGTTCTCACTGTCCCACAGCCAAATTATCCATCTGTAAGATGATGGGGATAAAAATGCACATTGAGGCCATCAGGGAGTTCTTGGCTTTTCAACTCCAGTAACTTTTCGGGAGATTGGGAAAGGCTTGGGGACAGTCTGGTTTTAGGGAGCTTATCCTACAGTTTTTCTTGCACCTCATTTGATCCTTTGGTTCCAAGCAGGAGACACAAAGTAAATGATATTTGATCCCAATCTTTTATCATTTCTATATTATTCGCTCATTTAAAAAATGCATTAAATGTATACTGGATGCCTACTATATGTAGGCACTGCCTGAGGTGCTGTGGGCACAGTGGTGGCAAATAGCTCTCATCCCTGTCCACAAGCAGTTTGCACTCCTGGAGCCTGCAGCAGAGAGGGTCTCACCCTGGCTGCACTTTGGAATCACTTCGGGAGTTTTGGGGACTCATAGATGTCTGAGCCCCACTCCCACTTGGAGAGAGGCCCTGGTCTGGGATGGGGCTCAGTCAACAGCAGTTTTGAAGTGCTTTTCAGGGGCATCTAGTGCACCCAGGACTGAGCATCCTTGGCCCAAAGCCTTCCTGCCAGCCCGCCTTTCCAGAACATCACGCTCATTGTCGTGAGAGAGGAAGTGGCAAAGCTACTGTGTGTTCCCTTCAGAACTTCGTGGCGTCACAGCTACTCATGTGTCCGTGACATCAGATCCTGAGTCTAAGTCCTAGGATGTGGTGTCGCTCTGGCATTAGCCCCTCCACTGCTCAGCTGAGGCTGCTTTGGTGCAAAAGAGGGGCAGGACTTCATTGGTTCTAGTTTGGGTGAGCAACTGTCCCGGTTTGTCCGAGACTGAGGGGTTCCCCAGGATGTGGGACTTCCGGTGCTAAAGCCAGGGAAGTCCCATCCTGGACAAACCTGGATGAGTTCGTAGGCACCTTAATTCTAATGTAATGACTCCTGCTGTGGGGTTCTCAAGCTTGACACAAAAAGCATGACTCATAGTAGGAAAATGGATAAATTGGACCTCACTAAATGAAAAGCTTTTGCTTTGTGAAAGACTACGTAAAGAAGATGAAGAGATTAGCTACAGACTGGGAGAAAATATGTGCTGACCACATGTTCTATAAAAGGCGAGCATCTAGAATATATAAAGAATTTTGAAGACTCAATAGGAAAAACCAAACAGCGCAATTAGAAAACGGGCAAAAAGACATGGACAGACATTTCACTGAAGAGGATATACAGATGGCAAATAAGCACATGAAAAGATGTTTGACATCACTAGTCATTAGAGATATGCAAATTTAACTGCAATGAACTATTACTATATGCCTATCAGAACGGCTATAATGAAAAATAATGACACCACTGAATGCTGGTGAGGATGTGGATAAAATGGATCACTCTTAGGTCGTGTGTGGGAATGTAAAATGATACAGCCACCCCAGAAGACAGTTTGGAAGTTTCTTATAGAATGAAACATGCAACTACCATATACCCAAGCAATTGTACTCTTGAACATTTATCCCAGAGAAATGAAAACTTGTGTTCACACAAAAAGTTGTACCCAAATGTTCATAAAAGCTTTGTTTGTAATCACTAAAAATTGGAAACCACTTAGATGTCCTTCAACAAGCAAATGGAGAGTCAATGATTGCATTTCAGTAGATAAAATCTTTTATTTTTTTAAGATTTTTTAAAAATGTATTTATTTGATAGAGAGAGAGCGAGAGAGGGAACACAAGCAGGGGGAGTGGGAGAGGGAGAAGCAGGCTCCCTGCCGAGCAGGGAGTCCAATGTGGGGCTCCATCCCAGGACCTGGGATCATGACCTGAGCCGAAGGCAGATGCTTAACGACTGAGCCACGCAGGCGCCCTGATAAAATCTTGTAAAACATTGTTTGTGGGGAAAGAAAAGAAAAGGAGGTGAGGATATTGGAATTACTATTCCAGTGCTTACTAGGG